TGTGTGAAGCGGACTCTGAGGCCAACAGCAGCTGGGCGCTAGCGACGTTGCTTTGGAATGACAAGCCAGCGAGGGTCTGAGGATGGCGCAGGATGGCGCAACTTGTGGCACAACGGCATGGCACATCTATCGGTTCCATGACTTGGTATGGGCAGCATCAATAACAATGGCAGGAACATCGTAACATCACTGTAACATCACTGTAACATCATGAAACGTTTCCCACAGGTGACATGCGGTGCCACTCGTGTTTTGCAGGTCAACATTGCAGGTGTTTCAGCAACATGACCAGTGGTTCTGAGGTCATGCAGATTGTCTCACTGCGAGCTCGCTCTCGCTTGGTCGAATACCCGGTCCAAATGTGACGCTGACCGAAACAACTAAGCTGATAAAGCAAGCGTGTAGTGATCATTTGTGATCAAGCAGCTGGGCATTAGTGCCTTTCGAGATCCTTAGGTTGCATTCAGACCTTAAGAAATTTCCAATACTGTTTGGACCTTCAGGCCTGAGTTCTCAAGATTTCAATGGAAGGTGGCTGGTGTAGAATGTGTATTGGAGTGTCTTTGCCTGTGTAAATGTTGCCTCCTGCAGGGCATTGCAACATTTCGAGAGAGCACTCTTGGAAGCGGCTTCTGCTCGCAGGCGACATGGATTGGACCGGATGGGAGGATGGAACTGGCTTCTGCTTGCAGGTTTGCTAAGTTGAAATGTCACTGCTCAAATCCCAAACTAAAACTGGCAGGTTGGCTGAATCCGGTGAGTACTCTCCACAACACCTGGCAAACATAGCGCAGTCCTCCACTATCAGCTAGCTCTACAACGGGTCAATGTTTGAAGCAATAGCCGCGCGCTGGAAACTGGCAGTGGAAATCAGAGAACCTGCATGTGAATCATTCATGCCAACATATTCCAAGATTTTCAGTGAAACGTTTGCGAGTGATATCGGACGACAGTTTTTGCAAACATATTTGATTGAGGCCTCATCCAGTATGCTGAAGGCATCGGAATTCCAACCCCAGGCGGAGATTTCTGGAGCACTTGCATTGGAATCATGTGAGCAGTGCGAAACATAATCCACAGCGGTTTTTGTTGCTATCTCATGGTTTATTGATGTTTATTGCAGACTTGTAATGTGAAAATAACATAGAGACGCCTCTGCCCCGCAAGGAAGCTGCAAACATCGTGTGGGAACACGCCGTGCAGTGCTTGGTCAAGTACAGTACTGTAGAATGCAAAAGCGTAGCCACCAGTAGAGTCTGGCGGATAGGTCTGGTTGCTGTTGGTGTGTGACTGGAAACGGCGACCACAAAGTTCTTTCAGGACAACAGATCCATGTGCTTGAGGTCTTGCAACTCTACAGTGACGAACTATTTGAAGTCCTGGCACAACGAGGAGTATGTATCTTATTCGGATGCTTTGGGGACTGTTTATCCAGTTTATTCAATTCGTGATTGACCAGCTTGTCCGACCTACAAAGGTCCATCATTCTGATTGCGAGCCGCAGCACCTCGCCAACATTGCATGGAGCTGTCAGTTTCTGAGGCACCAACAGCCAGCAGCAAGTCCAACACGTTGGATTCTGTTGGATGACTGGCAGCGACAGCTGAGGTGCCGAAGTCAGCTATACTTGGCGGCCCTGGCAGTTTGGGTCACGGCACCAGGGTCACCAGGGTCACCAGGGTCAGCGGTCGTCCCTTGGGCCAGGTCTCCTTTAGTGGACTTGGCTTCAGCAGCCATGGCCAAGCTGGAAGAATTTGGATCCAAGGAGGGGCGAAAGCGCCATTCTGGAAGCTCTCCCAAGCTCTTCAGACTTCAAAAACGTAACGGCTTGGCCTGGTCAATAGTCAACTTGAATTGACTTGAATCACTTTGAGATGAAGATTTTGGCAGTTTGTTTGAACAAGTTGCTGGAGTGAGTACCATTTGTGGCGGATGATATGCACTATTTCGACTTGATCGTTGATGCGTGCGGCAGTGCACAAAATCCACAAGAGTCAATGGGAATATCGATGAATACTGGTTTCAGGGGCAAAATCTGTCAGCGAAGACACCAGGATACACCAGGTGAACATGTTGTATTTCTGTCCTGTACCAGGAGCTGGGAAACATCCTATGATCTTTGTCTCGGACAGTGCCTGAGGATCTCTGAAGTGCTTTGCATCTTTGGAGCCTCGCAACAAGATTGTGTAGAATGTCCCCCCCGACGTGTACTTCAGTTGAAGTCGCGGCACCAGGTACAGGCTATGTGACTTGAGAGGAATTCAAAATACAATAAAAATACGAAAAAAATACGACATCAAAATACAACTGTATTAAAAAAAACAATTGGAAAAATGCAGCCATGGAGTTTCTTTTTTTCCCTGCCCGGATGAGTGGAGGATACGTGATGCTGGCTCAAGGCCATGTCTTGGCACAGCATTTTTTGGGAGTGTTTTTTTTTCAGTTTGCCAGCCCCTAAACATGTCTCTTGTTGGAGGAGCTTTCCAAATACAAGCAAATTAGAAAATGCAATGTCGCAAGTTTCGACAAGAAAAAATCCAGCTAAGAAAATGCGACGTCGCAAGTTGCAACAAAAACGCAACTCAGAAAGTGCAACGTTGGAAGTTGCATTTTTTTTGCATTTTCTGTTGCATTTGTTTTGGCGCCGTTGTATTTTGTTTTCCATTTTTATGTTTTTTTTTGCGTAAAAAAACAATACAAAAGTTGATCAAAGTTGCAAAAAAACATGCAAGGGAGAAAATGCAACGTCGCAAGTTGCAAGATATGCAACTCAGAAAATGCAACGTTGGAAGTTGCATGTTTTTTGCATTTTTCCGTTGCGCTGTTTTTGGCATTTGCATTTTCCGTTGCATTTTTTGATTTTCCGGATTTGCTACAACTAGCCTTGTGGTTTTGCTTGGAATTCTCACGGCAGCGTATGTTGCTTATAGAAGGCAGCACAGCAACTAGTCTTGGTGCCAGAAGACACATCGCTCAGGAACTGCCTGGTTCACTGTATGTTTCCCTTTCTTTTGTGCAATTTCAAAGTTAGACACGCCAAACTTGACAAAATTGTTGCATTTTGGGGTTGTATTTCTCTTGTTTTTTTTGCATTCTCAATGTTTGATAAAAAGATAGAGTCTACCTGACTCGCAGGACTTCAATACTTCAGGTTTTGTTAACAGAGGCAACAATGCCGCCTTCTTGGCTCTTTGTGGATGGAACAAATATTATCATGCATTACTGCATTACTCAATCATTGCTCACCCTTTGCTGCTAGCCGTTGGAACTGAAATGAACATACGTAGTGTTGTGAGCAAGTAGATGTTTAATTTTTTGATCCGCGGGTTTGCGGAGGTTGGGCGGCCCAAGAGCGGACTTCCCCTCAGTATTCCTGACTGATGAAAGCGATGTAGAGGGGGCTTTTTAGCTTTGAAGTGGAGTAGCATTTGAGGCATGGCCACTCTTCACAGCTGCAGACAGGCGAGACAAAGAAACAATAAGAAACCATACTTCGCAGTCAGGATAGCAACGTAATAACAATCGCTTCATGCCCCTGTTTAACCATGGCAGAGCAAAACCCCTAAGAAACCGATAATACCAGGAAAAGGCTGGATGTGGGCAAGCAAAGTTCTCAGATGGAAAATTGTCATCAAAGCCTGGATGAGATTGTGCGACGATGTGCGACGATGTGCGACATGTAGCTTGAGGTCTGGCGTCAGTGCAATGCTGAGCAACAGTGAACGTCACAAGATCCCATCAAGACGCTCGCTGGCCGACGAGTCAGGAATCCGAGTTGCGTCACCAGATCGAATGATCAAAGCTTTTTGATGCATTTTGATGCATTTTGTACATTCTTACGATTTTTGGAATGGCAAACGGCCTTGGGCCGTACTGGGCCGTTGAGGTTGCGGCTGCTCATGCGATCTCGTGGAGATGTTCGTCCTTTCTTCGTAGTGAGCACCTGAGCCGAGTCTTTGTGGCACGCATCAAATATAGATTCAGGATTGACTATGATTCAATGATGCACAATATTTGTTTTACAATCGATGGATCCTTTGGACTCCGAAAAAGCACAGAGTTGCATTCGAACAAATAGAGAGCATGGTGACATGGTGATGGTAGGCAGCAGCTGCGGCTCGTGCAGCCGAAGCCGGAGATGTCCGAAAAGCTCTGTTTGATCCTCAGTGTGGCAGGAAAGAATCAGCTGCGCAATGTGGGTTTGTCCTTCCATGCAGAGAATAGCGATGCGATGCAGTGGATGTTTGGTGGGAGTTGGAAGCGTTGTCCCAAGGCATTTGCTGGACTCCATAGCAACTTGGAGAATGGTTGGGAGAGGGAAGCGGACGCTATACCGTATACCGCAATAAATCCATTTACACTTTTTAAGGCGGTTCTATCCACTTCCCCAGAACCAAATTTGATGAAGCCATGAAAACCATTCAAATCCCCGTAGAAGCATCTTATAATTCCTCTATATAAGCACCCAATTGACAGATTCAGAGCTTTTGGCAATCTGTGCAGCATCACTCCTTGTTCAACTTGGCCGCTTCGAAACTTGACTCCCAGGAGGACATCCCATTGGCGGACCAGCTGCGCAGGGCGTGTTCCACACCCTGGACATTTTCCACGATTGGTTTTAAAGCCACTGGATTTCCCAGATCCTCAGTACAATTGGCTGAAGATGAAGCTTCACCCCCATCAGCCTTCGGCCAAAAAAAAGAGCATTGCAGTTTCGAGCCATGGACTTGCAGCAAACAGCATCTGGGGTCAACAAACCTGTGCATTTGCAGCACCTGATGCTTTGATGAAGGACCACATTCTTGCAAAGCTCGCCAAACCTAATCAAGAAACTATGGCAATTCCGGTAAATTCATATGCCTGCTGCTTCAAAAGAAACTATGGCAACCATCCATATACCTGCTGCTTCAATTCAAGCCAGCCGAAGTCCTTGAAGTAAAGAACCCTTGCACAGTTCCCAATTCCCACAACCTGCAAAGATGTCCAACAACTTCTTTCTTAGTGCCGCTTGGGTGCTTGGCCATGGACTAGCCAGTATTGAGTGACAAGAAGAGGTTTAGCATGGTCTGCAACTCAGCCCACCAGAGGCCAAGGCAACAATTTGGCAAATCTGATTTCAAATAAAGCTAGCATATGCGAATCATCCAAATCTAGTGAGCAAATTGCTGAACCTTTGAGCTTTGAACTCAGGCGCTGCGTGCCGCGCATGCCGTGCTGCAAACGGTTCCGCCTCCGAAGCTAGTTTCGAGCTTGGACATCATTGTTGATACTTTCCGTAATTTACCTAAGTTTGAATTTCTTGTTGGTACTTTCCAGTGTGATGGAGTTTTGCTCTAAGGGCAGCTTCGACGCGGTCGTTTTAGGGTGCGACACGGGCGTGGAAATGTCATCATAGGGGTGCGTGGGAGGTAGCACAAATAACATGTTTTCTGCCCCATCTTGCCTCTTAGCTTTGATATGTTGTTTTGGTTTCCTAAACTCTGCTGTTGAGAAGCTTCGTGAATATGTCTAGTCTAGCAAAGGCTTTCTCGACAGGCCTCAAGACGCAATTCAACAAACCAAGTATCGCTCTTGCAATGTCAACATTTTACCAATGGAAAAATTGCTACAATGTGTGGCAACCTGTGTCTGATCCAGTTTGCCGCTGTCAGGTCTGGAGTATCAACAGCTGTCCCGCAGCTTGCACACATTCTGCAGGGCCAGTGCGAAAGTGCCGGGCTCCAAGAGTGATGCTGAAGAAGAGGGAGAATCTGCAGGGAGTATGGCTGGAGAAATGTGAAGATATCATAATATATATATATGTATTTGTTCAACAAAAATGTCAGAGGGAATCTTTTTACAAATCTGGGTCCAAGGCGACAGCAATTCGGAAATCTGATGGAATGACAGTTTGTGAGGACTGAGCTCATATTCCTTTGGCTTTGCTTGTCATTTTGTGACATCGAGAAAAGACATGTTTATGGGTAGTCGGTAGCAACGAGTCCAAAGAAAGCTTCAGGTCTATTTTGCCAGAGTTTAGACAGAATCACGGTCGCAGAAATCTTTACGTTTCCTTGTCCTATGACATTTCGATGCGCTGAGTTTTGTAGGCAGACAAGTCTGCGACTTTACAGTTACAAGCGAACCGGGGAAGTGGAAGCCAAGTCTAACCGTGCGAGGAAGCTTATCAGAATCCAACTTCCAAGAATCGACGTTTGAACGTGTCGCTGCTGGTGCGATACAGCCCTCCTGATGGGAGTCGGGTACTGCCGTCTTGCTTCCTTGACTCATCGACGAAAAAAACAACAGCATCTGTCCAGCACCTCAGACACAGACATCTTGAAAGACAGGTTCGCCATGTGATGGTGGATGCAGGGAAGACTCTTCGCCAGGCTGGGATGTCTGCATTGCAGTGGGGTAAAAGCAGTGTAGATCCGATGTTGCAGTGATATCGACTGATATTGTTTGCGTTGTTTGCGCAGGCAGCCTTGCAAACACTGCCAAAGTTCGGAGTCAGCAACATTGATGCTCTTTTAGTGACGCATGGCCATGCTGATGCCATGCTTGGCATGGATGACTTGCGGGACTTGCAGGCAAGGTTTGCGGGGAGCTGTGAGCTCAAACTCTTCGCGTTAAGCTACAACCTATATAATGGATACTAATGGTGGTTGAATGCATACGGCATACGGTATGGCAGCAATCGACATCTCATTGGATTGCTATAGTGAATCTATAGATAAACCTGCTTCTGTTTAATTAGGATCTATTCTGCATGGTTGACGAATGCAACTATCCCAACTTGAAGGTCATCGAAAAGGTCCATTCCGATGGACAACACATCGGGTATCGCCTGGCAGGAGGGGTCCTTTGCCCAGATGGACATTCGTCAAACTGTGCCTGCAGCAACCCAATAATTATGCACCTGTAAGCTTCAGATGGTATACTGAGTATACTGTATACTGATGTGTTGGCAGAAATACAAATGATCCCAAGTTGCCAGCAGTTGAGAGTCTTGCGTTTGATGCTGGAGATCCTTGCAACTTTTGGATACTTTTGGGAATTCACTGTAAGCCTAGGCTGGTCCAATGCAAATCATCTCGAACAAGGTCACTCTTGACAGAGTCTGAATCCAAAGAGACATGTGGCACTGCATGAATTTATTTCGACTCAAGCTTGCATGGTGTGTCGGCTTCTGCAAAGTGCACCCCCCCTGTTGAGATCCTGCTGTCTCTTAGGTTCGAGAAGCTTTTCCCTACCTCTACGCGCAAGCAGACTTTGTGGAGCCGGGCGTTCTTCGACGCCGAATTGCATACATTGAGTTTGCGGAGGTGGCTGCAAGGGAGCATTTGTGTGACATATTTGGCTGCAGCAAAACTTCATCCAGTCGCATCGAAAGCCGAAGCAGGTTTGGATTCTGAACTCACTGATTTCAGTTGCTGAGCTCACCACTATAAATTGAAAGGTCTCTGACGATGAGACTATGGAACTTGTGGATGGTCTGCCGCTTCGTGTATTTCCTGCAGCTGCCTGAGTTTCCAACAGAATCACCGAAAGTATGGCTTCCTCTATAGTAAGAGGCTAACATTCCCATTCAATGGTTTTAATTTGTTGCATCGCGTGTTGCATGATGCCATATGATGCCTAAGGTGTGGCATGGAGGTACCTACGTCTCTTTGGGCTTTGCATTTGGGGGTCGGCTGAAAGGTGGCTACCCTCTAGCTGAGGCCTCAGGAGAAAGAGTTACACTCGACAAGCGTTCAAGCGTACGTACATTTTCACGGTAAAAAGGCTGAGTACGAGAGTGCCAGTAAATGGGGCGACATCGCACAGGAATAGCGAAGAAATACCAAATATGATATGAATTATAACTATATATATTAATATATTCGTATATGAAATTTCATGAAATTTCAAACGATGGAAGACAGAGCATGGCAGAGTTAGTTCTGGTGAGTTTGAGGTGTACATTTCGGACATCTCGGCCGTGCCGCCGGAGACTATGACTTTCTTGGAAGAAGCTGCTGCCGCGGGCATTGATCTCTTCATGGTGGATGCGCTGTCTCGAAATGGCCATCCTACGCACATGTCTTTGGACGAAGCGATTGGCTTAGTCCGCAAACTTCGACCTTCAAGGAGGGTCTGGGGGCGCTGAAAGTCTTCGGAGAAGGGCGCAGGCATCGAGTACTGTAATGATCTGTAATGTAGGGTCTGTTGCTTTTTTGGGAAGTTCTGATTGTCATTTTTTCCATTCTCTGACAGGTGATCTTTTGGTGCATCTGTCAACTTAGCAGACTTGGCATAACTTGGCTAACTTCACAGATGCTGCTTAGGAGGTATTGACTTGGGCGCAGGCAATAGGCTTTTTACTATTTCATATCTTCCTTATTATTTGTCGATACTTTCTCAACTCCTTGTCCGAAGGAAATCACCAACACGCACCCAACACGCACCCAACACCCACCATCATCTTCGCTAGGGCCCTGCTTGTTGGCATGGATTCCTGTGCAATTGGAGATCATGACGAGGCACAATGTTTTTGGGATTTTGGTGTTCGTCCGTTTGCAAGCTATTTTTAAACAGTTGGCAGAGCTTTACATTGCAAGAGGATATAGCTAATTGGAGGATTGTGGTGGATTTGAGAGAATATGTTCAATATTTTTCAATCATCTTCCATCAGAAGGCAGAGGACCACTAGGCACGCATTTCCTTGGGCATTTCTTGCAAGGTCAACGAGGAGTTACGCACGTTGCGAAGTGAAGGCCCCTCACCAAGATCATTTCCAAAGGCCTACAATAGGTTGAGTTTCTGCACTTGAATATTCAATCAGTTCCAATTATACATCGTACATCATCGTACATCATCGTACATCATCGTACATCATCGTACATCATCGTACATCATCGTACATCATCGTACATCATCGTACATCATCGTACATCATATACCTTTATTATTGTAAGATCTACATCTACATTTCATTCTGTTTCCAGAACCCTGCTCTCAAGGTTTGGATGTGCAGCTTGCCTTTGACGGCCAGCAACTGCCGGAGTTTCCTGCTAGGCGTGCTTCATCGTTTCATGGTTGGGATGTCACCTCGTTGAACAACAGATTCGTTTTCGTATGTTACCTTAACACTGCGCCATCGAGATTCCTTCGCATTGCAGGGAAGATTTAGCTGCTGATGCTGAACTCCCGGATGCGAAACGCGTCCGCCTTGAGAAATCGCTTTTGTAACAAAAAAATACATATTGATTTAATAATATATAATTCAATATAATATACTACATTTAATATATTATATATTAATTGTAAATTATAATACATATCATATTATATATGTTATATTACATATTATATTAATAATATAACATATATCATATTATATTATATTATATTACATATATATTATATATATTATATATCATATATATATATTATATATTATATATTATATATATTATATATATATATTATATTATATATATATTATATTATATATATATTATATTATATATATACATATTATATATATTATATATATTATATATCATATATATATATTATATATTATATATTATATATATTATATATATTATATATATTATATATATTATATATATTATATATATATTATATATGATTCTATATATTATATATATTATATGTACTATATGTACTATATATACTATATATATAGTATATATATAGTATATATTATATATATTATATATTGTATATAATATGTAATATACAATATATAATATATTATATGCAAAAACCTATGTAAACATATAAACACTTTTTTCCAAGTCAAAGTACCAAACATACCTTAGGTCAAGCGACTGTGGCGCGAAGTCCATTTCGAAATGAACACATTCAAAATATCTCAGGGTCGGAGTACTTTTGGAAGTTGAGGCATTGAAAAAGTACACGTGGCTGTCGTGGAAATCACATTTCCAAGTTAAAATATTAAAAATGCATCATATTGTACTACTCTTGGACGTCTATGTGCTGTTTGGTGCAGGCACAATGAAATATGTAGAGTCACGGCATTAAGTCGTCTTGATTTTGGTGTTTTCAGTTGATTATCTGGAGCGGAGCTTCGCAGGGGGGCCGTAATTAATTTTCGTTATTTAACGGCTGCCGCCGCTGGCGCCGACCCCGGAGAAGAGGGAAGAAGAAGGGAGATTAACATTCATTTGCGAACTATTGTGGAGTGAACCGAGGGGTATATACCATGGTTTCGACTCGCACTTATGATCATGGAACATATTCATTTTTTCCCAGGCACTCTTCTCCCCATCGCCCTTAAGATCGCATGTTTTTCCTTGGTCAGTGGGGCTGGTGTGACTGGAGTTATGTGTTGCTGTATAGTGCACTTGTCTCATATCAGACCCAGAACCAGATGGACAAGTTGTGCAAAACCACATATGCTGCTTGGTATCAGGGACGCTTGGTTAAGTTTACAGCTTCCCGAAAGGTTGATTTTAGGATGTTGGGTAATCCCTGAAAGTAGGACCTTAAAAAGGGATCTTATGATCTGAACAAGGTTGAGTTTATTGGATCTCTACCGAGTCATTTCGTGAAGTTGTTCTCTGTGGAGAGGGTAGGATTCTGACTTCAGGAGGTCTCCTCAGTGATGTGGTGGATTTTGGCTGATGCTTAGCCTGGGGCATACTATGCTTGGCGGTGATTGATTATTGTACCCAACCCTTTTCAAACATACTCTTACCGAATCAGAACATCATATGTAGGACATCCGCTATCAATGGTGTGTTAATGTAGAAATCATCCAACTAAATGGTGGAACATCTGGAATTTTGCGCCGCGTCTATGGCGATGCAGGCGTGCGCCGAGATCGCGGGTTGTCTGGCCGAATTTTGGGGGTTCACATAGCCATTGTATCATGGAAACATGAATGATGCATAGTAGCCAGTTATGGTTATGTATTTTGTAAAAAATGACGATTTTATCACGTTTTTCACAATTTTCCAAAGATGGGAATCACCATTTTTCCAAAAGCTCCAGGTGGCTGTGGGTCTTGCGTCGAAATCGGCACAGGATCGGATCCTCTGCCGGCGGTGGCAGATCGATTGGCCTATCTGTGGAACAGGAAGGCAGCGATCCCAGCGATTGGCGATCCACAAAAAAAAGGTGAAAATCAGCGATTCTTTAGGTGGATCTAGGTTTCTGACGCTGCTGCAATAGCGGTTTTTTCGGATCAAGTCCCCCTTCCCAGGCCATCGAGTCTGGTCACAATCTCTGGCACCTTGCCGAGTGGCACTCAACAGGCGGCTTCGGGATCCGAATTTCCTGAAAAATGGAGAGATTCTGTGGAGAGATTTGATGGGAATACTCTATATGATGGAATGGGAGACTTCGTGAGATATAGACAGAACCGAGTGAAAGATGGCAACCCTCGCTGGCGTTACCTGGAATTTTAATGGTTTATAAATGTTCACATTTGAGGGATCATTCTAAACATGGCCAACCTTTGCAGTGTGATGAAATATTTCCATCTTTTCGCAGATTGAAGGCTCTTTGTAAAGCCAATCGCTGGAAGTTGGGTGCTCCCCCACCCGGCGCAGCAGAGAAGAAAAGATGGAAGACACAGACATCAACCATCCGAATCTTATCAACAGAAGGGTCTTTTGGAGATGGGTCAAGTTACCGTTGAAATTGCCATATTTCATGGAATAACGCTCCTTCAACCAGTTATGACAAACGGGTACCGTTTGAAACGACCCAGGACGGGATGTTGGCCTTTTGGCTGAGCCTGGACGATTGTCTTTGTGACTACAACGAGAGCCTCGAGTGGTTCCAGGTATGTGTTGGGCTTGGAGCAACAGCAACAAAACTTGGGTAAGTCAAGAAAACCATATAGAAATCCATTTCAGTGTTCTCCTTTGAACAAAGATCTACATTCATGGTCCTCGAGTCCTGCATATCTAAGAAGATTGACTAGAGGGTATATAAGAGTTGATGCTTGGTAGACCTCTCCACCCTGCAACAGTATCCACCATCGTTATCGCAAATTTGAGTATGCAGAGTAATCCATTCCGTCTAATGTTTAACACCCCTCAGACTGTTCATGGTTTATATAGTAGAGGATGTACAATGTACACATATTTGGGACTAGGAGGTTTAATGTTGGTGGGATGGGATTATACTGAGTAAGAAGGCGTTTGCTTGCCTTCACAAGCCTCAAGGTAATCTGCATGGGGGGATACCCAGAGGAATTTTATGTACCTCGCAGAAAGTCAGCAACGGGCTCCTGAATCAGCACATGCAAGCAGGCAATTGTCGAGCAAGCGTTGCGAGACAAGGGTCAAGATTGGCAACTTGATGGAAGAATGGACATTCCGCAACGGGGATGTGGCCGAATGCTCCAGCCCGGGTCATGCATGGCGGAATCTTTAATTATTTTTCAAAAAAATCACTACTGGTACCTTCTGGAAATTTGTTACATAGCGGGGGAAATGACCCATTTATAGATAATTTCCCAGCTATAAACCTCCATCGATTTCCTAGGCCCATTGAACATGGTGGCTTTTTTATTTTTTTTGGTATGTCAATTGCCAGATAGTTCATGCCATACCCCCTGAAAATGGTGGCTCTTTGAGCCAAAAACCTCTGCGGGGGAACAAGCACCTAGTCCGATCCGGAAGACCTCAAGGACTGGAAGTGGGCAATTTTTACAAGACCTCAGTACATAGTTGGATGCCATGTCCCGCACATCCTGCACTTTCGCCAGGAAAGCTGGGCTGAAAGAGCAAGGCTATTCCATGCTGGCCAACAAGTGGGGACCCTGGGACCGGGGGGACCGTTTTGGGATCGGCTCATCCCTTTCAACCTGTTTCGGATCAGGCCCAACTTCAGGGGCTTGGCGTTGCTGTTCTTGCCCTTTGATGCGGCGCGAAAGCTGAGGCGCTGAAAGTGGAACTTCAGTTGATGATTGATGATAATTAATTAGGAAAAAAAAGGTGGCTAATGATGGCAAATCATGGTTTTGATTTCATGATTACTAGTGGGTTGATGATAAGCAACAAAACTAATTATATCAAAGACATATATAACATTATATAACACTAAGCTTGGGAAGATTTTCATGCCCACATGATGCCAATTTTCAGCGAAACTTTGGGCAGCTATGATTTTCCTGGTGGCTCACACTGGCGTGGGGAGAAAAACCAAGGTTTTAAGTTTCAACCCAACAAGAATCCATACCAAAGTTTGCTTAGTGGGGTGCCCTGGTGCAAAACAAATAGATGGGGCTGCCTATGTTATAACCAACACATCATGATGGTTGTTCACTTGACTCAAGAATACCTTAGTGAAAAGACGTCTGCTTCAAATCGATTCAGCCATGAGATGTGTACACAGTGTACACGTCATCCTGGCAGTGCATGTCTCCTACGGCTTGGACCAGTTTGTTCGTCTGAAGTCTATGACACCTTTCGAGAAGACTGGTCGCACTGGTTGCATCTCTACGTCAATCAAAGTCTGCTATGAATGCACGCGAGAGTTGAATGACACTGCGGACCTTCCGCAACCGCAACTCTTCAGCTTTCGTGTGGACTGTCGAGGTGCCAAGGGATACTTCCAAAACTTGACACTGTTTGATTCCAATTCGGTCTGTGCTCACCTGACCTACCGGAAGTATGGCAACAGCTCTGCGAGGCCCACCTCCCAATGGCTTCCCTTGATTTCTGATCGCATCGTGACGATGGAGAAGGGGGACGTGTTGGACTTTCAGTGTGTGCTCCGGAGCTTAGAAATTTACACCGGCCTGGAACGAAATTTACCCGAAAACGCGCTGGAGCAGAGAGATTTCGCTGGTTTACCCTTCGCCTTCACCCCGAAATTCAGTATGATTTTGGACGGAGGGGCCCAGATCTTAGTCTACACGCCGCTGATGGTTGAGCTGTTCTGCCGCCTTGGGCACTGTAAGCCTTGCACCCGATCCTTGTCCGAGGCGTATGAGTGGAAAATGAAGGTGTCTAAGTCGAAGGGCCTGACCTATTGGGTCAGCTATGGCAGTCCGGTGTTGCAGCCGCAGATCCTGCCTGAGGTGGAATTTTCGTCTGAACTTCGAGGGGAGGTCTACAGACTGGACAAAGATCTCGTGCATGTGACGGTGATGGAAGCCACCAGTTACAACTCTTGGAAGAAGCCTCAGGCCATGGCAATTGTCGAAATCACATTGGAGCTGCTTTTGGCGGGGCATTTCTGGGATGGTTTATGGATTAGCCTCCAGTAATCTAAAAGGTTGCAAGGGACCTTTGCCCATTTACTTCGTTGAATTACCTGCTTTTAGAGTGGTGATTTTCGGTCGCACGCTTCCCAGGATACCCAGAAGAAGTTGGTGGAGCTAGATGACAACTTTTATGGCGATGGTGCAGAAAACGACCACAGCTTTTCGGTGGACTTTAAGTTGCGAGTGAATCCCGACTTGCTTCGGAGTGATACCAAAGATGTGGTGGTCAGATTGAGACTGGGACTGGGAATCTGGTTTGAGGAAACGCCTAGCTACTTCAATGTGACCCTTCCCACAAATCGAGATGAAAGTTCATCAAACTGGTGGCGTTGGTTGACGCTTATTCTGTTGCTCTTGACGTTTCTGGCTGCCATAGCATATGTCTTCCGGGAGCAACTCTTCATGTCAGAGGCGTTTCAGATTCTTTGGAGGCGGTCTGCCGGGCTTCCTAGTGACGAGACCGGCGTCTCAATTGAGATGCAAAGTTGATCGCTCCGGAAGAAACAACGGCTCAACCAGGTTTTTTTAGACCCAAATAGGGAAGTTTTCTGCAACACAGGCTTATTTTGTAATTCCTACACTACTTTCTGTTTGGACGCGTTTCAATTTGTTTGTTTGGGAACATTTGCAGGAAACCAGCGTTTTTACACCAAAATAGGGAGTTCCTGCAATTTCTTCATTGAATGCTCGGATCAGTCCCCACCATCCACCTTCGCCAAGGGTTCCAACCCCGGCAAGTGGCGCCGTAAGTGGGCAATACCAAACATTCCTGTGGCTTGGGAAAAACTTGGATTATAGTAGCCGTCGTCACCGCCAAAAGATAGCACTACCTTCATTTTAGTAGGATCTTACTTTTCTATCTGGGGGTTGCTATGAAGTCAAAGGATTGCTGAGGGTCGTGGTGGCATTTCTCCAGTGATGCTTTCTTGTGGGAAAAGGCTCGGTTGAATTGCTGGTCGTATCAAGTCATATCATATGGGGATGGGTCAAAACCTACTACTACTAATGAAGGGGGAACATCCATGAGCCAGCTGTGACTTGGGTACCATCCGGGTACCAGGTGTTTGACCCATCACCATATCCCTCACTAGTTATTAGTCACATTCCCATGACTGTTGCAGGCCTGCCTGATTGCCCCACTGAAGGGACAACTTACAGGACATCATGGCAATTTTCAGAGGGATAATATGATTCATCCATGGATGTAGGGGTACCATATTTTCAGACAAACCAACAGCATTTTTCCCCAACAGCGTAGAGCTAATGGGGTCTTCAGCCCAGAATAGCTCCGGTGTGCACTGGTGCAGGCGCCGGGTCAAGTTCAACGAGGTTCCGAAGAAGGTTCCGAAGGTTCCGGAGGAGGTCTGGGCAGTTTTGGTGCAGAGCCAGGTCACGTTCAACAGGGTGGAGGCTTTGGTGCAGAGTTCCGGAGAAGGTTCCAGAATTTCCAGAGAAGGTTCCACGAAGCCTTGGTGCAAAGCCAAGTCAGGTTCAACAGGGTTCCGGAGAAGGTTCCGGAGAAGGTCGGGGAGGTTTCGGTGCAGAGCCAGGTCAGGTTCAACAGGATTTGCGGCCATTTAATTCACGGAAACCCAGCTGAGGTGTTTCCAGCGCTTGGCTTCGCAGCACGCTTCAGAAAGATTTGAAAAAAATAAAACATTGCGGCTGTTGGGGATAGCACCGAAGCTTATTCCCCAACAGCGTAGAGCTAATGGGGTCTTCAGCCCAGAATAGCTCCGGTGTGCACTGGTGCAGGCGCCGGGTCAAGTTCAACGAGGTTCCGAAGAAGGTTCCGAAGGTTCCGGAGAAGGTCTGGGAGGCTTCGGTGCAGAGCCAGGTCAGGTTCAACAGGATTTGAGGCCATTTAAGTCACGGAAACCCAGCTGAGGTGTTTCCAGCGCTTGGCTTCGCAGCATGCTTCAGAAAGATTTGAAAAAATCACCGAAGCTTATTCCCCAACAGCGTAAAGCTAACGGAGTCTTCAGCCCGGTGTGCACTGGTATAGGCGCCGGGTCAGGTTCAACGAGGTTCCGGAAAAAAATCCGCAGGTTGGGAGGCTTTAGTACAAAGCCAGGTCAGGTTCAATAAATTTCCGGAAAAGGGGTTCCGGGAAATCAATAAAATTAATATTTCTATAAAATATTATAAAATATTCAAAATATACTTATATAAATATATCACGAAAGGTAGCTCCAGAGGGGCTACCTTGAGTTTTACTTTACGAAGTAAAGGGGAGGGCGGCCAGCCCCGTTACCTGATTCTTCAGGAGATTGCTAGTCATTTTAGTACCCCCCCCCCTCCTCCACACCTCCCACGCACCCTAAGAGCAGACTCAAAATACTGTAATTTACAGTATTTTTGTTCTTTTCGGATCAAGAAACCACATTTTGCTACATGGTGAAACCTCCGTAAATACCAGTGTTTTTGCTAGGTGCTGGCCAAAAAACACTGTAAATACCGTGCTTTTTACTACCAGAGGCAAAAAACATCGTAAATACCGTGGTTTTGGGCTTCCGACCCGCCAAAAACATTGGCATTTACGGTGTTTTTTGCTCCGAGCGATGCAAAAACACGCGAAAACACCACCGATTTGACGATTTTCGGCCACTACGGAACCGAGCAAAAACGCTGCAAGGGGGTAACACCAACACCGACAAGAACAACACCAACGCAACAGAAACAGCAACAACAACAACAACGACGACAACAACAACAACAACACCAACACACAACGCACAACGCACAACGCACAAAGCACAACGCACAACGCACAACGCACAACGCACATCACACAACACACAAAACACACAAAACACACAACACACACAACACACACAACACACACACAACACACAACACACAACACACAACACACACAACAACCACAC